AGGGGGTTCACAGTGTATATGCCCTTTGCAAGAGGAGTGTTCCTGATGGTGGCAATCAGCTCTGACTGGTTAACAATTAATGAGAGGTAGACTTTACGAAGAGAAGTAAGTTCACTCCAATGAGGGGCTGAGAATAACATCATGTCACTCTTGGCCAGAGAGACTATTCCCATACTCAGACCACCTTCAGCCTGTGGCAAAGAATCTATATTCCCCCATGCAAGCCTGAGCTAGTTCGGTAGAGCAGCAATGCTCTACCAAATGTTCATCCTATCTTCCATCAGCCCTGTCCTAGAGAAATTGGGCAAGGAAATAGGACAGGTTAAAAAAAAAAGCTGGGGGTCTCCCTAATTTTAGTAATTGGCTATCAAAATAAGAAATATTTCTTTCTCTCCATACAGTGTAGTTAAAATGAAGTCTGGGTGAAGGGATATGTAGTCAGATAAGTCTACAAAGGCCAGGCTAAGGAGCTTGTATTCTAGCCTACAGGCAACTTTTGAATACTAGGTGATAAAATGAGAACTGTGCAATACTAGGAAGATCATCTTAGCGGGATAGATTGAAAAATAGAGATGGGAGGAGGAAGACCATTTAGAAGGCTATTACTAATAAGAAGACAGGAAAGCCTGAATTGAGGGGTAGGTAGCATGAGCAGAAAACACAGAATGGACAAGAAAGAGGAAAGCAAGACTGATGGTACTTGACAGCTGATTAGATGTAGAGAATGAGGGAGAGGAGTCATAGGTGACATGGAGGTTTTGAACCAGGGTGACTGAAGCGGTACTGTCAAACCCAAATAAAGAAGATGAATTTATCCCTTGTGTTCTGCCTCTCTCTGTCAGCTGATAAGTTCCTCAAAGGCCAGGGCTATGTATTTCTGTGTCCTCAAGGTTGAGCATGGTATCTTAAACGTTAACGGGTGCTAGACTTTGTTTTTTTTTGCTTTTTGGTGAGGCAATTGGGGTTAAGTGACTTGCCTATGGTCACACAGCTAGTGTCAAGTGTCTGAGGCTGGATTTGAACTCAGGTCTTCCTGACTTCAATGCCAGAGCTCTATCTACTGCGCCATCTAGCTGTCCCTAGACTGTTTTTTTTTTTTTACATTGAATTGACTTAAATTGGGAAGAATACATCTTTGGAGGGGAAGAGGATGATTCAATGTCAGACAAGTTGACTTTGAGGTATCAGTGGGACATCCACGTGGAGGAATGCACCAGACAGTTGGAAATAGGGAACTGAAACTCAGGATTGATCGATTTGGGAGTCTTTTGCCTGGAGCGATAACTAAAGCCAAGGGAGTACATGAACTCACCAAGGGAAAGGGTGCAGAGTGAAGGTGACTGAGGACAGCACTCTGGGGGACAATTAAAGGGGAATGAAAAAGGGCCTAGGGAAGAACCTTATGAGACATTAATAGCTAGGAGGTAGGAAGAAAAATCAGTGGAGGAGACAGAGAAGAAATAGACCAGTAAAAGAAAAACTGGGCAGGTAGGTGGTGCAGTGTATAGAGTGCCAGGCCTAGAGTCAGGAAGATTCAGCTTCTGAGTTCAAATCTGGCCTTGGACACTTATTAGCTTGAATGATCCTGGACAAGTCACTTAACCTTGCTTCATTTGTAAAATGAGCCTGAGAAGGAAACAGCAAACCACTCCAGTATCTTTGCCAAGAAAACCCTAAATGGGGTCACAAAGAATTGGACATGACTGAAACGACTGAACAAAGGGTAAAACTATGAAGAGAGTATCTAGAATGACAAAGTGGTCAATAGTATTAAATCCTGCAGAGATGTTAAAGATGATGAAGCCTGAATATGGACCAGGGAAGTTAGCCATTAAGAGGTTATTGATGTCTTTAGAGTGGTCTGAGAAAGCATATTCAGTACAGTCCTAGTGACAGAATCCAGACTGCTGGGCACTTGGTGAGTGGGTAATGGTGTGGGGCTAGCATCTGTACCCCCATTAGAGTATAAACACCTGAACAATACTTTCTAGAAGTTTAGCAGTGAAGGGAAAGGGAGAGAAAAGACTACAGCTTGATTAGGTAGCAGAGTCTTGGGAAGGTTGGGGGAGGTGGTTGTTTTTTTATTTTAGGATTGTGGAGAACTAAGTATTTTTGTAGGTTGAAAAGAAGGAACCAGCAGAGCAGGAAAAGGTACACAAGGGGATGAAACTGGGAAGTGACATGACATGATCAGGCCTATGCTCTAGGAACATCGCTTTGCAACCGTATACAGAATAAGCTGCAGGAGGGAAGAGTCTGGAAGCAGAAAGACCAATTTGAAGAGCCTCTTGCAATAGTCTAGGTAAGAAATGATGAAGGCTTGAACTAAGGCTGCATTCGGTAAAGAAAAGAGCACAGCCCCAAGGCAGGGTGACCACCTATAGGCTCAGGCCTGTCCTTGCTTGTGCAAGGCCCCACACAAGCACATCCAGAAGGACACGTACATGCATGCCAACAGGCTAGCCCCCCAACACACACACACACACACACACACACACACACACACACACACACACACGAAAACACACATCCCATAGCACAAACAAAAACACCAAACCGGAAGTGCCTGTAATTGAGGGTGAAGACTGTCTTTGGACTCTTTTTGTATCCTCAGCACTTTAGCACAGATCTAGCACGTAGCAGGTGCTTAATAAATGTTTGAGAGATGGAGAGAGATGAATTTAAGAGCTGTAGGAGCAAATCTGACAAGATCTGGCAACTTTCTGGATGTGAGGGGATAGGGTAAGGGAGGGAGCAGAGAGCAGAATACAGAGTAGAGGATGACTGAGGTTGTGAGCCTGAGTCACTGGAAAGTGCTCTCAACAGAAATAGGGAGGTTTGGAAGATGGGAGGGTTTGAGGAGAAAAATAATGAATTTTTTTTTGCATGTGTTGAGTTGGAAGTGCTATGGGACATCTAGGTGGATGTGTCCAGGAAACAGTTGGTGACAAGACTAAAACTCAATCATTCAACAATATTTATTAAGCATCTACTATGTTCCAGGCACCGGGACAGAAGTACAAAGAATAAAACAATACCTACTAAACAGGAGCTTATATGTAGTAAATCTGGGAAATACCTGGTTAGAGATAACTGAACCCATTAGAACTGATGAGATCAAAAAGAGAAAGACAGGCAGGAAAAAGAAGAGGGACCAGGTCAGAGCTTTGGGGTATATCTGCAGATAGTGGGTGGGATATGGATTATCATTCAACAAAGTAGAATGGGAAATAACCAGATCCTCATATTACCTTATTCCAAACCCCTTGCCTTCTCTTCTCCTCTGATCTCCAAGGAAGCCAAGGAAGAATTTCTGAGAGATTAGTCAGCAACGTCAGATGCTCAAGAAATGTCAAAGAGGATAAGGACACCCCCAAACTTGTCTCTTCCCAATGTCCTCCATTCCATGTTCAGAAAAAAATTAGCTTTAACTCTGCAGTTCACTGACATTAAACAGTCATGTAATCAGAAAGTCAGAGTTGGAAGTGACCTTAGACCACAGAACACAAAATGTCAGAGCAGCAAAAGACCTCAAAAGACCAATCTAGTCTAACCTCTTCATTTTATAAATGGGGACACTGGGCCTAGAGTGGTGAAGCAACTTGTTCAGTCACACGAAATGAGTCACCTCCAGATCCCGGACCTAAATTCAGGTTTCCCAACTCCCAGACTAATTAACACTCCACAACATGCAGAAAAGTGGGGCCTGACCAGAAATGTTCACTCCAACAGTTCTGCTTATACCCAGGGGCTACATGAGGGTGAGTATGGAACCAGTCAACTTTTCCCTCAGGTTTTTCCTGGTAAACAAAAATGAAAAATAATCGGGGAGGAGGAGAGGGATAAGAGATTGAAATCAATCAATAAACAAGTATTTGTTGAGTGCTTTATCTGTACAAAGCCCTCCTGGGTGTGTGTGTATGTGTGTGTGGGAGGACTGAGTAAGAAAGGAAGCCAGCTGTGGGGGAAAAGCACTCAACTCAGAGTCAAGAGATCAGGATTCTTGTTCCAGTTCTGCCAGTAATTTGCTGTGTGACCTTTGTTGTCAATTTCCCCTTTGTGCCTCAGTTCCCTCCTGTATTAAGATTCAGAGATTGCCAGCCAGCTGTGATGGAAGGTGCACTGAACTGGAAGTCAGGAGACCTTGTCCCAGTTCTGTCAGTAATTTGCTGTGTGACCGTTGTCCAGTCACTTCCCCTGAGTCTCAGTTTCCTCTTCTGTAAGAAGAGAGGGTTGATCTAGATGTTCTGGGGAGAGGGGTGACTTCCAAACCATTTTCTGGTCCACCTGCTCCTTGGCATTCAGTAAACCTCTCCAGCAACCCCAGTTCAATATGAAAGGCAAAAAATTCTGCAATTTCCCGTGCATATGCACATTAGAAAAACCTTCCTTTACCCCTTATGCAGTAGGACAGGAAGCACATTCTGGAATTTATCATGCATATGTACATAAGAAATAAATAGATTAATTAGATTACTTTCAATTGGATGCTCACGTAGTTAGCCAAATCGCACCAGTACCACCTGGGCAAGCTCCTCCTACACCAAACCAGGAACCCTAGGATTAGATGCTTTCCAAGTCCCTTCCAGCTCTCATTTTCTGGGGGTTACAGCCCAACCTCCCCGATTTCCTCCTCTCCACCCCTCCACATGCACTCCCCAGGCTCTTCCCCCACCCCCCCAGCCGAACTTCCTCTCAGGTGGCCTGGAAGTCTCAGAATTCGGGCCCCAACTCTTTTTTGTAGCAATAGCAGATGTACTATCGCGATATGCCCCGACAGCAAACTGCCTCAACCGGTCCAGCTAAAAAACAAAGCACAGATGCTTTAACAGTTCTACTTCGACTCTGGAACTGGCGAGGAGAAGGCAGGGATTGGCCCCCAGGACAAACATTCCTCCAGGTTCGGGAGGCGACCCGAGGAGTCTCGGAACCCTCGAGCAGCCGCGACGGACGCTGGGGGGAGCGAAAGGGTAAGGCGCGGAGGGGTGTGGTTTGGTAAAGCATGAACACAGAACACTTCCGGCGACACCGGAAGCGGAGGTGAGGAAGGCGGCCACGGGCCCAGGCTACGAGGATGGCTGGGCGGACTACCCTGCTGGCCCTGCTGGCCGGAGCCGCAGCGCTAGCGGACGCCTCCCAGGGTGACCGGGAGCCCGTGTACCGAGACTGCGTCCTCCGCTGCGACCAGTGGAACTGCTCCGGGGCCGGGCTGCAGCACTTCCGCTCCCACCAGCCAATCTACATGAGTCTGGCAGGTAAGCCCCGCCCACGTGAAGGCCCCGCCTTTGGAGGCCCCGCCCACCAGCCAGACCACGCCCACGCCCCTCGCCCACCTCGTAGTCCCCACCCTTCCCCCTCTTCCGCATTTGTGCCTTGGTTTCCCCACGGGTAGGGTTGGGGAGGTGAGTGACAGCTCAGTGTTGACCGCAGAGGTCCTGGGTCACCCAGCCTTGGATCCTCTGCCCTCCTCCATGCCTGGCAAATCCTGGGGATAGAAGCAAGGGTCGGTCGCAGTGGTTAGAGTGCTGGGCCTGGAGTTAGGAAGGAAGACCTGACTTCAAATGTGGCCTCAGACACTTAACCGGTTATATGACCCCTCAGCAAGTCACCTAATCTCCCTCAGCCTCAGTTTCCTCATCTGTGAAATGAACATAATAAGAGCATTTACCTCTCAGAGTTGTTGTGAGAATCAGATGAGATAATGATTGTAAAACTGGCACCTAATTGTGCTTATATAAGTCTCTATACAAATGTTAGCCATTATTATTAGATTCTCTTCAGTTCCGTTTAGTTCTAGTGCACAAACATTGATTAAAGTTCCTGTGTGCAGAGTGATGCAGTGCAGGGGAGATGCAGAGTTTATCCTTGCCCACCTGGAGCTAACGATTCCTCAGAGAGGTAATAATGCACAAACAGGCAGAATGTGGTATGGAGAGTTACGGATGGAATTCTCTGAAGAAACTCCCCGGAGGTAGAGGGGTACAGTGTAAAAGAGCCTGGGTTCTCTTGTCAGGAGACTTAGTTTCTAGTTAGGTTCTGATCCTAATTAGCTTGGTAGCCTTGGCCAAGAAACATCCCTCTTCTGGTCCTCAAGCATTGCTTACTATGGACCAGGCACCACAATAAGGCCAATGTTGCAAAGAAAAATCCAGAACAATCCCTAATCCAGTAAATCCAATAAATATTTATTAAGTGCCTGGTAGGCCTTCATGAGGATATATTTAGTAAAAAGAAAAATAGTCCGGGGCCTCAAGAAGCTTACATTCTAATGGTAGTGATAACATATACGTAAATAGATATGGAGAAGATACATACCAAGTAGATGGAAGATAACCTTTAGAGGTTAAGAAGTTGTCCCCTGGGGGTAGTGGGAAGGGTCTCTTGCTGAAGGTGGTCTTCTCATCTATAAAATAGCCTTGAATCTGTTACCAGATCCTGTCGATTCTACCTTTGAAATATCTCTAGTATGTGCACCCTTATCCTCTTTAACACTACTATACTATCCTGGTGCATACCCTCATCACTCCCTGCTTAGGCTATTGATTTGCCTGGTCTACAGTAGCTTTATCGGCCTCCCTGCCTTAGTCTCCTCCTTCCAGTGCATCTTCTACTCAGCCATCAAGGTAATTTTCCTAACATGGTGGTCTAACCATGTAACCTCCCCTATTTAATAAACTCTAGTGGCTCCTTATTACCACTGAGATCAAATGTAAAAATCCTCTGTTTGGCTTTTAAAGTCCTTTATAACTTGGCTCCTTCCTACTTTCCCAGTCATCTTTTACCTTAACTTCCCTTCACGTGCTCTACCATGCAGTGACATCCGGCCTTCTTGCAAAAGACTTTATCTCCTAACTGTGTGCCTTTTCATTGGCTGTCTTCTTTATCTGAAATGTTTTCCTCTTAATCTCTACCTCCTGTCTTCTTTGGCTTCCTTCAAATCTCAACTAAAATCCCACATTTTGCAAGAAGCCTTTCACAATTCCGTTAATGCTTGTGCCTTCCCTCACAGATCACCTCTGATTTATGCTGTATGTAGCTTGTTTGTACATAGCTGTTTACATGTTGTCTTCTCTATTAAACTATGGGGTCCTTGAGAGCAGGGCTTATTTTTGCCTTTATACTCTCTCAGCACTTAGCACAATGCCTGGGACACAGTTAGTCCTTAATAAATGCTTGTTGACTCGACACTAGGGTTCTGAGCAGGGAGAAAAACAGGTGAGCCCCAGGGAAATACACACACACTGGATAGAATGCCAGGCCTGGAATCAGAAAGACTAGAGTTAAGATCTGGCCTCAGACACTTACTCAAAGTGTCACCTGGGCAGGTCATTTCACCCTGTTTGCCTCAATTTCCTCATCTGTAAAAAGAGCTGCAGAAAGAAATGACAAACCACTTCAATATCTTTGCCAAGAAAACCCCAAAGGGGGTCACTAAGAGTCAGACATGACTGAAACAACTGAACAATAGTGTGTTTATGTATGTATGCATATGTATGTGTATGTGTATATATATGGATGTGTGTGTACATATATATGTATGTGTATATATGTATATATACACACACATCAAGAAAACATTTTTAAAAGAAAAAAAAAGAACCAGTGGAGACTAAGAAAAAGTTATTAAAGAGGAATCAGAAGAACCCAGAAAACTTAGTGTTCCAGATACCAAGGAAGAAGAGGGCCTGGTCAGCAGTGTCAGATGCTGAAGAAATGCCCAAAAGGATGAGCACAGTGAATGGGCCACTGGATCTGGCAATGGGGAGGGCACTGGGGACAGAGTTTCAGAAGAGCTCTGGCTTTATGGATCCTGTGACCCCCTAAAACTGTTCAGAATCTCAGAATCACCAGTGAACTCTTCATGACTATTAGCTGCCTCTTTTCTGTTCTCACTCTCCTTGACATTCTGCAGTTTAGGAGCACTGTTAACCTCTTCCTTCTGTTATTCTCCTCTATTTTGTCTTCAGTGACACTGTTAGACCTGATTCTCCTCTTCTCTGATTACTCCTTCTCTGCCTCTTTTGCTGATTCATCTTCCTCTTCCTGCCCTCTAAATGTCTTCTAGGGTCCTGCTCTCAAACGTCTTCTTTCAGTAGAATGTCTCCTGTGGTGATCTCATCCATTCCCATGGTTTCAATTATCACCTCTTGCAGATGACTCCAAAATATAGATCTCCAGCTCTAATCTCTCCCCTGAGCCACAATCTTGAATTTCCATCTGCCTGCTGGATTTCTCCACCTGGATATCACACCCACACCTCCAGCTCAACTATCCCAAACTAAATTCATCTTCCCCAAAAAAGCTGCAGTATAGTACAGTGGAGAGAGAGGGCACTGGGTTTGAAATAAAGTAAAATTAGAGGGCACCTGTTCGGGCTCTAGCTCTGCTTTTAAACAAGGTATGACCTCTTTGGGCTATGGTTTCTCACCTGCACGATGAGAATATTGGAATAGAGGCCTCCAAGGGTCTTTCCAGCTCCAATCTGTGATCATTTGATTCTACTTCTGGCTTCCTTTTTTCTGCTGATGGCACAGTCCTTCTCTGAGCCACTTGGGCTCAAAACCTGGAAGCATTTTTGACTCTTTCCTTTCCATCATACTCCATATCCAACTACTTGCTTAGTGGGGAGCCTTCTGAGAACTGGGGTGGTGCCAACCTATTCTATCTCCGGCATATTGTTGTATCCATGCCAACTTCTGTGCTCTCATTGCTGCTTCCTTTCTTGAGTCAGTCAGTAAACACTTGTTAAGTGCCTACTATGTGCTAGGCCCTGTTCTAAGTACTAAAGGTACAAAGAAACACCAAAGACAGCCCCTAATCTTGAGGAGCTTGCATACAACATACAAACAACTCTGTACAAACAAGCATAAATAGAAGGTAATCAAGAGAGGGAGGGCGCTGGAATTAGGGGAGATTAGGAGAGGTTTCCTGTAGAAGGTGGGATTAGTTGTGACTTGAAAAAAGCCAGGGAAATCAAGAGGCAGAGATGAGGACGGAGAGCATCCCAGGCACAGGGGACAGCCAGAGGAGGTGCCTGGAGAATCTTGTGCTTGGAACAAGAAAGAAGCCAGTGTGGCTGAATAGAAGAGCCCATGGGGAAAGTGGGGGGAGGGGTAAGGTGTAACACAACAAGAGAGGGCTGGGGCACTAGGTTATGAAGGGCTCAACAAACAGGACTTTTATTGAATAGAGGGGTGATGTGATCGGACCTGTGCTTTAGGAAAATTGAGTTAGTAGCTGAATGGAGGGTGGATTGATGGAGGGAGAGCCTTGAGATAGGCAGCCCCACCAGCAGGTGGTTCAGGTAATCTCCGGTGTGAGGGGATGAGGCCTCACCTTAGAGTGGTGGCAGTGTCAGAGGAGAGAAGGGGGCGTACTGAAGACGTGTAGAGATGAGATGAGAAGACGTTTTGTGAAGGTGAGGAGAAATTCTTTTTTTTTCTTTTTTAGGCAATTGGGGTTAAGTGACTTGCCCAGGGTCACGCAGCTAGTAAGTGTCAAGTGTTTGATCTGAGACCGGATTTGGGTTTTGTGAAGGTGAAATGGACCAGTTCAGGTCCTTATCACCTCTTAACCTGGACTTCCAAACAACCTCTCTCCTTTGCAATCTAAACTTTACGTGGTTACCAAACTAATCTTCTCAGTATAAAGCTCTCTCATGCTCCTTCCTCAGATTCTTTGCTGGCCTTCTATTACCTGTCACCTAAAATGCAGACTAGGAGTTTAACATTGAAAGCCCTCAGAATCTGGTGTATCTTGCCTTTTCAGTTTTATTTGATTTTCATTTTACACCCCTTCAGGAACCCTGCATCCTAGCCACCTGGTCCCTAGTCTTGCCTTATATATTCTTATAGGAGTAGGCTGTCTTCCATATCTCTGCCTTCAACTTCTTTCTAGGCCCAGTTCAGGTACCACCTCCTCCACAGAGCCTTCCTGGCCCACCCCTGCTGAACTTGATCTCTCCTTTTCCAGATTTCTCTTAGCATTTTTCTAGGCCTTTCCTCATCCTTGCCCTATTCTGCCTTGTATACTGGGCATTTGTGTGCGTTATTCACAATTGCCCTATTTAGATTGTCAACAGATTAACTAAGGGGACTTCTTTGTTTTTCATCTTTGTCATCTCAGTGCCTCTGTGCTTTCACATAGCTGTCATTTTGAAAATGCTGAATTTAGTTGGATTAAGTTAAGTGGTGGTTGGGGCTAGGGTGGGGCTAAGGAATTCAGGCCACCTCTGGTCCCGAGCTAAAATTCTAAAATCTCATTGCACTGGGGACCATCTAATCAACTTCATTTTACAGATGGGGAAATGATGACGCAGAGGCGTGAACTTACTTCCCCAGGGTCACACAGCCAGTTAGAAGTATCCAAGACTAGAGCCCATATCCCCTAACTCCCAACACAAGGCCCTTCCCACCATTGTTAGCTCTCTTTGCCCCCAGATGGACCACATATGCACATACAGAGCTCTGTGATACTTACTCCCTGCAGTGTGTGGGAGCCAGGAGTTTTGAGCCATATTGGGAGATAGGGAGATGACCTAGTTTTTCTCCATTCACATTACAGAACAAGGGAAATCTTCCCTGTGGAGGTAAAGAGACAAAAGCGGGGGAGGGGGTGGAGGAGAACGTCCTGCATCAAGGCCTTCTCTCCTGCATGAAATGAAAACAAAGTTAGGAGGAGATGGGTGATAGGTTGGGTGGGGAAGACCTCTGCTCAGATGAGTTTCATCTCCTTTAGAGAATCAGAAAATCTCTGTATTTACCCAATTGATTCTGCCCAGTAAACCCTGCTTTCAATATCCTTCTCGTAGGTGTTAACTCCTCCTTCTTCCATAGGGATAGAGGCCAGAGTGTTTAGTTCCATTTTACTTCTCACTGATCTGCAAGTGAAATTTCTCTGAGTCCTCATCCTGATTTTTTAAGACAGAGAGTAGGGTTGGGGTTGCTAAGAAACTTTTTGTCTTTTTCAGGCTGGACCTGCAAGGATGACTGTAAGTATGAATGCATGTGGGTCACCGTGGGCCTCTACCTCCGAGAAGGTTACAAAGTTCCTCAGTTTCATGGAAAGGTGAGTCGGAAGAAAGGATGGTGATGGGTATATTTTGGGGGGGCAGGGAGCCTTCTGGTGAGCCAGGGGAGGGTGGTAGGAGTTGGAGAATGGGATGGAGCAGCATAGTCTAGGAGGCTGCCATGCCAGGAAGTGGGCCTTAGGCAGTATTTCTGTTTGACCTTGCTCTTATTTCTGATGATCCAGTGGGAACTCTGTGTCCTGTCCCAGACCTGGGGAGATCATATGGGTGAGCTGGGCATGAGGCTCATTAGTGCTTTAGGAACACAGATCTTTCAGGCAGAGAGGTTGTTGTTTTTTTTTTAATAATAAGAAAAAGACATCATAAGTAAACATGACTTTCTCAACTTGCCATCATGCTTTGAATTATTTCTCCAGCAGTGGAGGTGGGTCATCATCATGACTGGTGATAATAAACGTTTATGTTAATGATAATTTGATAAATGTGAAATAGCTTCCAAAATGGTCTCACTGACATAAACTTTCATTTGATCCTCAGTAAAACCACTTGAGGTAGCCAGGCAGACGCTGTAATGTGAGGCCCATTTTACAGATACAGTACAGTATGGATCTCTAGGGAAATGGAGACACAGGAAGGGACTGTGAGCCAGGTGACTGGCCCAGGCTCACACAGCTAATAACTGGAAGAGCTCAGATGGGAACACAGCTCTCCTGGCTGTCAATCCCTATTCTTTCCATTGCTCACCCCTGGTGTTCCAAGGGGAACAGTCTGCAGCTCCAGACAGGATCTTGTACAGCTCACAGGAAAGAGCAGGGACTGAAGCTGTGAATTTGGTCAGACGTTTTATCCTCCCACCCCATACCCTATGGAACTTTCCAAGTGGGAAGAAATACCCACAGATGTATACTTGTCTGTGATGCAAATTAATCGAGTAGAACGCCCAGGCCTGTTTGTAGGTGCAAAGCAACATTGCAGGTTTCTCCTCTACAAACCAGGCCCAAACCACTGCGAGAGAACGTATGAGTGTTCAGGACTGAGGCCGAGTAAGAGAGGCAGAAACGTAGAAGAGAGGCCTCCTGCTTTCCCGATGATTGCAGAAGCTGTTACCTAGAGCAGTGGATGTATGTTGTGGCACCCAGGTGATGCACGACTCTGAGCCGCTTCTTCCTTTTCAGTGGCCCTTCTCTCGGTTCCTTTTCTTCCAAGAACCAGCCTCGGCCGTGGCCTCCTTCCTCAATGGTTTAGCCAACCTGGTCATGCTCAGCCGGTATCGAACCTCTGTCCCAGCTTCCTCCCCTATGTACCACACCTGTGTGGCCTTTGCCTGGGTAGGTAACTGGGCACTAATCCACCCTGGGGCTTGATTCCTCAGAGAGGAACAGAGAACTCCTGGCAGGCAGCAGCAGCATTGGGGGTGGGCTTGAGGGTGTTGGAGACAGTAGGGAAAGCCTTTGCAGGCTGGAGTTCCAGACGCCCCAAAGAACGCTGAAGAAAGGAGACTCAGCTCCTGCTGTGGAGGAGCCCATTTTCTAGATGGGAGGAAATACCAACTAATGCAAATATGCAAAAAAAAACACCAAAAAATTCACCTTGATTGAATAGAACAGAAACACTTTTTTGTAGGTCCAAACAATTGCAAATGAATCTGAGCCCCTAGAGGACTGATACCTAGTGAAAGGAAGGTAGGGTTGATTAGGAAAAGCTTGCTAGGATGGAGGCGAGAAGATGAGGGTGGCAGTTTGGAAGGAGGGGGAGGAGATGGACACTTTTAAAGCCCTCCCTGCAAAGTTTGTCTCCAGCCTCACTTTCCAGGCTTACTCTCCCCTACACCTTCTAACATCGCTACATCCTAGCCTCCTTACCCCTCTGTGAATTCCATCCCCTGCCTCTTGTCTCTGCCTCCGAGCCGGCTGTCTTGCATGCCTGGAATGTATTCTTTCTTCACTCCACTTCTTAGAATTTTCAGCTTCCTACAAGGCTTAATGAACTTGGGCAACATCCTCCTGGAAGCCTTCCCTGATCTCCCTACTTAGTACACTCTCCCTCCTCAAATTTTACTACGTGTTACTCTGTCTAAATGTCTTATTGTTCCAGCAGGATGTTAGCTCCTTGTCAGCAAGGACTTTGTTGTTGCGGATTCAAGGCACAATACAGAGCACCTAGGAGGACCTTAGTAATTGCTTGTTGAATTGCCTTCGGTGCCAGGAAAGCATGACATAGTGGACTAAGAGCTGGCCTCAGGGTTGGGACAACCTGGGTTCAGGTTCCACCTCTGACACATACTAGCTGTGTGGCCCTGGTTAAGTCATTTACCCATCCAATACTTAGAATCTGGGATTATAAGTTACAGAGAAGGTTCTAGCCTGCATTGATTGAAGGAGTTCCCTATACTGTATTAATGAAATCATTGGTCCAGTCACCCTCCCTATTGTGTACAAGTCCTGATTGCTAGATACTGGGAAAATGTACAAAGTTTAGATAGAACAGGCTTCTTGCCCTCATGGTATTGACATGTAAGAGAGATGAAACCCATTAAAAAATACTGTAATACAAAATAATACATAGGGGCTTGAGAATTGGCATTCTAGGATTTGTGGTTCAGAAGGACAAGGAATCCTGTCTGTCTTATTCTCTCAAAGATTTTGTGTTTCTTTTTTCAAAATTCAATTTACCCAACATCTTTCTAGTCCATAATCTCTCTCAGGGCTGGGAGGAGACACACGTCTTTCTGAGAACTATAAACCCCTGAATGCCGGTCACTTCTCACACTCTTATTATAAGAGGGTAAAAGCAAAATGGTCTGTAAGGCCCAGGGTGGGGGGGAAGGTTATGAAGCCATAGTCCCACAAAGACCTGTAGTGTCAGCAGGCAGAGGGGAGAAGGCATTCCAAGCACAGAGAATCCTGTGAGGAGAGGTGGGAGGTGACATGTAGTCTAACCAGGCTCTGTGTATTATTGTACAGTCCTAATATTTCCTAAGTTCTGTAGTCCCACATTACCAACTTCTTCCCAGATATCTCCCACCAGATGTCCTTTAGGCATCTTAAACTCAACCTGCCCCAGACATTATCTTTCCCTCACCTTCAACCCATCCCTCGCCTTTTCTAGGTCACTGCCATCCTCGGAAGCACTCAGAATCACAACCTGTGGCCCATTTTTGAGTCTTCATTCTCTCTCTCGCACCCTCCTCCCCCACAGCCATAGCTGCCAAATCTTGTTCTTTCTTTCTGCACACCCTCTAATATCTTTTTTCTTCTCTCCATTCATGTGGTCACTTCTCTATTTTAGGCTCTCACCACCAGGACTGTTAGCTCACCTTCTTCCTCACTGGTCTCCTTCCTCCAGGTTTCCTCCACACAGCTGCCAAAGTGACATTCCAAAAGCACAGGTCTGACCGTGTCACTCCCTTGTTCAAAAAACTTTAGCAATCACCTGTTTTCTTTAAGATGAAATATAAACTCCTATTTGGTATGTAAATTCCTTCATTGTCTTATTGTAGGCAACCTTTCCAGATTTATTATATATTACTCCCTTTAACATATTCACTATTTTAGCCAGACTGGTCTATGTGCTATCTAAATCTTATGTACAACTTTCTATATCCTATTGCCATGCATATGCCCGGGCTGTATCCTGTGGCTGGAATTCTCTCCTCTCCCCCCATCCGCTTTTCAGAATCCCTGGCTTCCTTCAAAACAGCACAAATGCCACTTCCTCCTACATGAGGTCTTTCCTGATCCTTCCAGTTGCTTGTGTCTCCCCATCCCCCCAAATTGTTTTCTGTTTATCTGATGTAATATTTTGCATTTATTTTTGTGTGTATGCATTGTTTTCCCCAACAGCATGTAAGTTTCTTGAGGGCATTGGCAGTTTTGCTTTTTATCTTTGTATCTCAGAGCCTGGAACATAGTAGGCATTTAATTGATTGATTCTTTTGGCTGAAGCACAGAGTGCCTGGGGGGTATAGAGCAAGATAAGTCTGGAAACCCGAGGAAGCAGGGATGCCAGGTGCTGGGAGGTCTGGAGTCGGGCACTGAATGTATTCGCTACAGTGCCTACTACGTGCCAGGCTCCAGATTCTGAATTTTTCTCAGTAATCAGTCTGGAGCCATTGCAAGGTTTTGAGTGGAGGAATGACATGGACAGGTCAATGCACAGGGCAGATTCTTCTGGAGGCGAGATGCGGGATGAATTGGAAAGGACACTGAGTAGAGAGAGAAAGTTAAGTGGTTGCAGTGATCTAGATGGGTAGTTGCAAAGGTCTGTATTAAGATGGTAGCAGTGGGAAGAGAGAGGAGAATACACATACAAGAGCCGTTATTGACAAAGAATTAATGGGGCTTGATGATTGGCATGAGAGGAGCCATCAGAAGAAGGACCAAGGTGTCAAACATGGCGAATTATAACCCTACTGACAGTGTGAGGTCTGAAGGGATGGCAAGTTTTAAGGTTAAAAAGCTTGCTTTTTGATATATTGAATTTGAGGTACGGATGAGACAGCCAGATGATAATAGCCCATGTGTAGTTGAAGATGTGGGCCTAGAGCCTGAGAAAGTGGTGCAGAGCTGGGGGGCTGCATTTGAAAGTCACCTGAAGAGAGATGATAATTCAAGCTGTGGGAGTGGGTGACACTGCCAAGAGGGAGAGAGAGCCCAGGGCAGAATCTGGGAGAACCACCTTCCTGAAGTCTTCTGAAGAAGAAGAGAAGCCACTGGGGAGAGGAGGGTCCACTTAATGGATGCCTACGATGTCTCGGAAACAAGGGAGCCAGGACAGACTGTAGGTGGAGATGGGTAACAGTATTAAGTGCTGTCAGGGGGTCAGAAGGAATGGGGACTTTATTTTTTTCCCTTTTTCCTTTTTTTTCTTATTTTTTTTCAACATTCACTTTTTTAAGATTTTGAGTTCCAAAATTTTTTTCTCTCTCCCCTCCCCACTCCCCAAGAATGAGGACTTTAAAGACAATTAGATTTGGGAAAAAAAAAAACAAACCAAAAACCAGTAGTCAGGGGAGCCGTGGGAACAAAAGCCAGACAGCAAGGGGTTGAAAAAAGGGTGGCTGGTGCCTTGTACATAGTAGGCACTCTGTAGATGCTTGTTGAATTAAACGACTGCAGTCAAACGTTTTGAAGTTTGTTGAAGGGGAGGGCAGATGGGATAGGAACTGCAAGTGGTGGAAGAGTCAAGGAAAAGAGAGAGGTCTGACCATATGTGAAGTAAAATAGGATGGAGCCAATGGAAAGAGAAATAGGATAAGAATAATAAGAGCTCACGTTTATACACTTTGAATTTTCCAAAGCATGTTAAATGATCAGATCTGATCCCTTCAGTAATCCTGTGAGTAGGTGCCATCTTTATCCTCATTTAACAGATGAGGAAACTGAGGATCAGAGATATTAAGTGATTTGCCCAGGGTCACCCAGCTACTAAGTGTCTGAGGCAGGATTCCAACCCAGGTCTTCCTGACTCCAGGCCCGGCACCCTAGCCACAACAGAACAAAGACCAAATCTCCCTGTCTCTTCCATACCCCTTCCTTGTTTTCCTGGCTCTGGGACTGAGCAGAGAGGTTCTCCAGGCCCACTGTGTCCAGCAGGGTGCCTGGGATTAGAGAGTTCTTAATCCCACCAGGGCAAAGGGCTGATAGCAACTAAGAAATCCAGACCGAGTTTTGAATGATAATCAGGAAAATGAGGGAAGCCTTTTCTCCCAGGATATAAGGAGATTGATATAGGTTAGGACATTATAACTTCTCTGTTAGATTGATGGCCAACAGTGGGGGTGGGGTGGAGAAAGAGGGCTGGTAGATGAAACCTTGCAGAAGGGCTTCATCTGTACCCTTCTCTGCTCCTTCCCTGCTTTCAGGTCCTCTTAGAGAGGCTGCATGTCTGTCTATGTACATACACCTCATTATGTTTCTGCCTGGGTTCTGTCTTAGCTTCTCACACCTTCACTTGTCACAGGAGAACAAAGCATTCCTGCTTGAGTTCTCTCAACCCAGTTCTTTTCCACATGAATCATAGGATAAGAAGGGACTCCTGGGGTCCTTGTCTTCAGGGAGGCCAGTGACTAAGTATTCCAGATGGTTACCTGGAAATTGTTGAGGCTTTCCTCCTGGCTTTAACGTGTTGGGATGCCCCCTCTGCCGAGACTCAGATATTTCGCTTCCTGACCTTGAACATTCTCTTTTTTAGAGGGACCAGGCCTTCCAGGAGAATGAACCCTGACTTCTTGGTGATGACCCCAGGCTCTCCAGGGATGATGAGACAGAAAAGTGGTGCCTCTGTTCAACAGGGCCACAGCCTTCAAATTGGCTCGTCTCAATTTGCT